GACCGCGCCTTCCCCGCCGGCGTGGGAGCTGCTGCGCCTGGTACCCAGCAGGCGCGCAACACCTATGTGTTTGGCGGACTGTGGTCGCGAGCATCTTTCGTGGTTCAGCCCCGCGCGTCCTCCTAGTCTGTGTTCCTCCCTCGGGGTCGTCCGATCGCCTGCCGCCGTACCTGGCGGTGATTCAGGAGTTCCACTTGGTCTGTGGAATTAGAATTCGTGGGCACGGGCCTGGGAATCTGCGTGTTAACATTTCTCCAAATGATTTTCTCTCCAACGTTGAGAATGATCACGTATTCGTCTGTTCAGCAAATATTTGGGAGCCTGTTAGGTGCCAGGTATTTTTCCCTAGCAATGAAAATCCTGTTTTTGCACACACACAAAAAATCATCTTTTATTATATATTTGGATTTTTATTTGAAGATAAGGAGCCCCAGGCATTGTTCTGGGCACCGGAGCAGAAACAGCAATGGGGAAAAAATCAGTTTTCATTGGCTGCCCTCCTGGAGCTTATGTATTGTGGCAGAGGCATAAGATAAAGGAGAGAAGTACTGTAAAATTCTCAATGATAAGTGCTGAAGAGAGATTAAAAAAAAATGGTTCGGGAAAAGGGAGATAAGTGTGCGGAGAGAAGGGTGGCCACGCAGGACCTCACTGATGATGGCGGTTTGCTAAATGAGCGTGGACCCGGCAAGTAACAGCTGATGGCCAGGAACCCCTTTGGGTGCCTCATCTAGTAGGGAGATAAGGAACTACCATTGGAAAAATGCTTTTTTTTTTTTTCCTAATCAGGAAAGAAACTGGCCATGTGAGGTGGGATTTATTGGGCTTTGAAGGGTGTAGGTGGGCAACAGCCAGTAGGAATAGTTTGTTTATTTCTACCCTGTGGTTTGGGGAAAGCTCAGGCTCACTTCAGGTAGTGTGTGGTCTAGATTTAGACTTGATAGTGCAGTATAGCATTTCTGAAAAAGGGATGGGGTCAGGAATGACAGGAGAAATGGAGAAGAGGTATGTCTAAGGATATGAAACGTGAACTAATTATGACAGTCATGGGATTTTATCTTTGATGCTAGTCCGCCTCTGGTCCCGTAGTTTGTGTCGTTCTGGGGTTTTCCCTGCTCCTTTCTTCATCTGTCAATTTACCTTTTGTTGTTCTTGTCTTGCTTGGTCTCCTTTGAGCATGTTGATGTTCTTTCCTTGACTGTTCCATCTTACCCCGCCTGTCCAGTGTGTGGTACCGTTCTCTCATTTCCTCATTTTCTGTTTTTCCCTCCAGCCTGTGCTGTGATGGCATTCTGTCTTACTATTTTATCAGAGGGCTGTAAAAGCAAAACTTTCTACAAGCCATCTAACTTCCACGGTTTACGTGTCTGTCACTGTGGGACATGAAAAACTTAGCACTTGAGGGCGTTTTTTCTTCTCTAGGCTCAAGTACAGGAAGACTCAGGTGACTCAGAAGTGGAGAATGAAGCAAAAGATAATTTTCCACCTCAGAAGAAGCCAGTTTGGGTGGATGAAGAAGATGAAGATGAGGAAATGTAAGTTGCCAAATGTTTTCTTCCGGAATCTCTCTGAATACTTGAAAAGTTATATCGCAGGTTTGAAAAAAGTTCTTTTTACGAATATGTGATTATGTGAAGATTTGAAAAATATTGGAAAGTATAGGAGAGAAAAGGTCATTCATAATCTTGCCACCGAGGTTAACGTGTTGGCATACTACCCTCCCTTTCTCTTTTCTTCTGTGTTGTCTAGACCTGATTTTGCCTCCTAATTTGGCCAATTCCTAACTGATCATTGGGCAAGTTTGGAACTACTTTTTCTCCTTTGTAAAATGGAGATAATGATAGTAATTATATCAAAAGGCTCTTGAGATTTAATGACGTAGTATATGTAGAGCTCTTAGCACAATGCCTAAAACTGAGAAAAGACTAAAAAATCTGTATACACAACATGTACTTTAGTAGATGAAATGACACAAGTGTTTTTCCCCACTTGAAAAAGAAATACCTTCATAAACATTTAAAAAGGGTTGTATTATAGTCCATTGTATGAATTTACCGTAATTTCCATAGCTGTTAATGGATGGATAGTTTTCCCCCCCTTTAAAAAAATTAATGTTGAGATACACATCTGAGCATAAACATTGACTCACTTTTCTCATTTAAGAAAGATTATGATAGAATTACTTGACGAGCGCAGGCATTTTTTAAGGCTCTTGATGAACACTTAAGACTGAGCATGAGGTCCTACCAATTCGTCATCTCAGTAAAAGGTGCCCGTTGCATTTCATTCTTACTAGCGATGCATTTTCAGACTTGGTGGGTTTGATGGGTGGAAAACACATACTTAGCGCTGAGAAAACATTTTTCATTGGTGTTTCTTAAAATGTCCTCTATTATGTCTTTATTTGTTTACTGTAGAGACTTTATTTAGTAGAAATTATATGTTTTTAAGGGTACAACATGATATTTTGTAGGAAAATGATTACTAGTCAAGCTAAGTAACATATCCTTCTCATATAGTTTCCATTTTTTGTGTGTGTGGTGAGAGTCCCTGAAATCTACTCTCTCAGTAAATTTCCACTATACAACGCAGTAATATTAAGTGTAGTCATTATGCTGTACATTTGCTCTCTAGACTTATCCATTCTATATAATTGCAGTTTTGACCAACATCTCTCCCATTTTCCTCACCTCCCCATCCCTGCTAACTACCGTTTACTTTCTGCTTCTATGTGGTGTGCCTTTTAGATTCCACATACAAAGAAATCATGCAGTATTTTTTTTTTTGTCTGTTTTTCCCCTCTAAATATATTTTTATTGCTTTCAGAGAGGAAGGGAGAGGGGGAGAGAGAGAGAAACATCAAGAGAGAATTATTGATCTGCTGCCTCCTGCATGCCTCACACTGGGAATTGAGCCTACAGCCCAGGCATTTGCCCTGTCTGGGACTCCAGATGTGATGTTCTGGTTCATAGGTCGACACTCAACCACTGAGCAACACCGCCAGGCTCTATCTGTCTTATTTCACTTAGCACAGGGGTCCTCAAACTACGGCCCGCGGGCCACATGCGGCCCGCCGAAAACATTTATTCCGCCCGCCAAGTGTTTTGCTGCCGCTGTGTGCATAGGAATTTGTTCATAGTTTTTTTTTAAACTATAGTCTGGCCCTCCAATGGTCTGAGGGACAGTGAACTGGCCCCCTGTTTAAAAAGTTTGAGGACTCCTGACTTAGCATAATGTCTCCAGGTTCATTCACGTCACAAATGGCAGATGAGACTGTTTCTTAATGATCTTGCTATATCAGCTCCTTACACATTGAGAATTTCCAACCTTTATATGTCAAATTTATTGTAGGTTTTTCTCTGAGCTTTCTGTTTGCCTTTTAATGCTTTTTAAAATATCTGATAGAATATTTAAGTTTTTATATGGTCAAGTCTAGGAATCTTTTTCTTTTTTTTTTGTTGTTGTTAAAAAGTAAAAAGTCCATCAGAGAGAGATAAATGGGTGCCTATCTTTTTCCTTCATAGTATTTTAAGTTTTAAAAAAAAAAAAATTTAATTTTTTTATTTTACTTGGGTTTTATTTAGGTGAATGGCATAAGCTGTGTCTAAAGTCATTATGTATTTGAAATATTAGCTCTTCAAAGGGTAAATTGTATAGTGCAAAATGTTGGAGACTTCTTTTTGTTTGTTTTGGGGAAAATAGAGAATGTGCGTCTCAGATGTTCCATATCTTACAAGTTTTGACATATTCAGTTAAATTAGTTTTCTCAAACTACTGAAGACAACAGTTGTTTTTTATATTAGTACTTTAAAAGTCAGTTAAACCATGCTGTTCTGTTTTTTATAGGGTTGACATGAGGAACAATCGTTTTCGGAAAGATATGATGAAAAATGCCAGTGAAAATAAACTTTCAAAAAATGAGCTTCAAAAGAGACTTAAGGAAGAGTAAGTATCCTTTTTCATATGACTTAATGAGAAGGTCTTTATAACCAGTAGTTTATTTTGATTCGCTCAGTCTTTGATTGTAATAGCTTCTTGGGTAATATGATTTCCATTTTGAAATAGTATGAACATTGCTATTGGAAGACATGATTAAATTTGAGTATTTTGGGGGAAGATGAAATACAAGCACAAAAAAATTTTGGAAAAAACTTGTAATCCTATCACCCAGATATCATAGTCAATGATAATGTTGCTTACTTGCTTATTCCTTTGTATATGGTAAGCCATCTCTTTTTCACACTTTCCAAGCTCTTTTAGTTGGACAGAGCTAGGAAATTTGTGTATATTTTAACATAATTATTTCATATTGATTCTTCCAGTTCAAACTTACACATCTTTTTTTGCGGGGGGGGGGGGTGTATGGACCAACAGTCCAACCAACTGAACCACACCGTGTGGCCAGGGAAAAACATTGAAAAATATTAAAAATATTTTTGTTTTTTATTTTACTTATTATTATCTTTGTTGTTGAAAGAGGTTTCTTTTTAGCTTTGTTCTGGAGTAGTATATTATACTCCAGGCTGGTTTAGCTCCATTACTAAGGTATGCCCTTCCTGGCATCACTTACTGAATGCCCAGTGTTCAGTAAGGACCCCCTCTAATTGGTTGGAACGCCAGTGTCTGAGCTTCGGTATTGTGCAGCTTACAGCTCCTTAGTAGTTGTTGGCCTGACCTCATGGAGTTTTCATCCTATGAGTGTGCAGCTTAGTATTCAGCAAAGTGTCTGCCAACTACTGTGCAGGTTTCTGGAACTCTTTCTCATCTACAGTCTACTGCCCCTCCAATTCTAGTTGTTTCAGCCTCTTTCAGGTCTGATCTTTTTCTCTGCCAGCGTTTTTAAAAAATTCCTTCACAGGAAAATCCTGGTGATGGTAGAGCTCACCATCTGGGATGAGTCCCAAGATCTCAGATGTGTTGAAATGAGCAAATAAGACAACCATATAACTAGATGTAAATAATTAACAACAAATGTGTATCCAGGTGTCCTGAATCCAGGACTAGTTTAGATAGAGATTCATGAAAGTTTCCAAATAAGTTCATTGGGACTATTTTGTTCTTTTTGTTCTCTTCTTTGGAAGAGAATATAAACATGTTCTCAAGGATGGTCTTACCTATATTCTTTAAATGTATCATGCTCTATGAACCTACAGTGGTTACCATACACATTTTTCATGTTTTTTGCTTAGATTTCAGCATGCCATGGGGGGAGTACCTGCCTGGGTAGAGACTAATAAGCGGAAAATATCTTCAGATGGTAAGTGTTGATTCCTTTGTTTATTAGTAAAGAAGTTCTATTCCTGTTTTGTTATTATTTGAGCTGTCTTATGAGGCTCATTAAAACCTGGTGTTTCGTGCTCACTTCAGCAGCACATATACTAAAATTGGAATGATACAGAGAAGATTAGCATGGCCCCTGTGCAAGGATGACACACAAATTCCTGAAGCGTTCCATATTTAAAAAACAAACAAACAATAAAACCTGGTGTTTCAAATATGTCTTTTTTAAAGAAAAAAAAAGTCTGGTTTTGAAGTCCACCATTTCTCTGAGGGAAGCCCTTTTGCAATAATGTAAGGCTTGCTTATTCTCCACTATAAAGACATAATGGATTGATTTTATGATTTTTTTCCTCAACAGAACTGTGTTGCCTTATGGCATAGGGTTAAGGAAAAATGAGTAGTACTGTTACTTCTTGATTCATAGTCCCTTCTGAAGACATTGGCAACTAATTTAGCTGACCAGTAGGAAATGGGATGTCTGCCTAAGGAGCACATGACAGGTCAAGCCCAGATGATTAGTCACTTTACAAAAACTTATTTTTCTCAGTTCCAGGTTTTAAGTTTGGTTTGTACCATAACTGTTTCCTGCTTTTTAGATCCTTGAGTTTAGCTGTAACTATGAATGGCTAAGCCAAGATCTGATTTATGTGCTTGGAGTTAAAAATTTTATACTTGGAATTGACCTTTGAAATCCTTTAGGGAATCCCAGATAAGTCCTCCCACATAATTCAGGAGTTCTTCCTTAGCCTCCTTCATATCTGATGAGTTTCTGTTTGATTTCCACCACCACCGCTCCTCCCTTCCTCCACCTGTCAGTCCTCATGGTGGTAAAGTACACCTTCACCACACCCATCAGTCCTCATAGAACTGAAGGACAGGGAGCCCCCATACAAAGGAGCGACTTGTTTTATATAATGCTGTGGAAAACTCACCCTGTTATTAAGTAGAAGTGTATCTTCCGGTTTCCAGCCAGATACTTCTAGAGGTTGAGGGAATCTTAGTGTTGTAGCTTACTTTATTCACACAAGAACCTTTTCTACAACATCTGTTAGAGGATAATTTAGCCTCCTCTTAAATATATCACATAATGTACTCTTTCTTCTCCCTCTTTTTTTTATGCTTATTTTTATTGATTTCAGAGAGGAAGGAAGAGGGAGAGAGAAATAGAAACATTAATAATGAGAGAGGATCTTCCATCAGCACCTCCCCGTCCCCCCTCCACCCTCCCCCTTCCCCACTGGGGTCAGCCTGCAACCGGAGCATGTGCCCTGACTGGGAATTGAACCCTGACCTCCTGGTTCAGGGGTCAATGCTCAACCACTGAGCCACAGCAGGGTGCTCTTAGCTCCCTTTGAAGTTCTAATACGCAGTTTGCTGACGTTGGTCTTTCAGTTCTAGTTCTTTTTCACGAGAGCTGTTAAGCTAGCTCTGCTGTCCACCCTATTGCTAAAGAACTCAATATGAATTCTTTTCAAATTAAATACTGAGTTTATTTCAACTTCATTTCATCTTGTCTGGTCACTGTCTGTGAATGTGTGTCTTTCATTCTAGAGTCAGGCTTGATTTTGATCATATATATTGAGCTCTGTGTCATCCTTTCCTGCTGTTTCAAATTTATTTTGCTGTTTTACTTTTACCAATTGCAGCTTAAATAAAGTAGTTAAGGTTGGGAGGCTGGTAAGGGAGTTGAGGTTTCAACTATAGACATCTGGGGTAGGTAATGCTCATCTCAATTACTCTAAAGATCAGCCTGTGGGTTTGTTTGACTTAGATGAAAGTGAAGAGGATGAAGATGATTTATTGCAAAGGACTGGGAATTTCATATCCACATCGGCTTCTCTTCCTAAAGGAATCTTAAAGGTGAGAGTCCGTGAAGTTGGGCCTCCCCAGCTAATTACCTCTGAAATTCAGTATGCCTCCCAGTTACAACTGGATGGATTCCTTTGATCTGTGGGACTAAATGTGTGTGCTGTCATTTTGCCTGGGTAAATACTTATGCTAGTTTTTCATCTGTTACAGAAATGATCAAGAAAGTTAAATGATGTCCCTAGGAATCTTTTAGGAATCCTATTTGATTTCTCCTCTTGCATTTCTCTTTATTTCTCTTGGCACCAGCCTCGTTCATTCTGCTGTCCTCTGTCACCCCGGTTACTGCAGTAGCTTTGTAACTCGTTTCCCCCGTCCACTTTCTTCCTCCTGCACTACTCTTCATATAGATATTTTTAAAATAAAGCATTATGTCACTTTCCATTGTGTTTTGAAAACTTCTATATTCCTTTTCACGGTCTATGCTGCCCTTCATGGTCTGGCTTCTGCCTACATCCAAAACTTCATCTCCGACCTTTCTCCGTATTTCCTAGTCAAGCTGTGCAGGCCTTCTTTCTGTTTCTTGAATGAGCTGAGTCCTTTCTTGCCTCAGAACTTGTGCTCTTGCTCTTCTTTCTGCCTGTCTGTTCTTCAGGCGCTGCTAATAGCCAGCTCATTATTCCCCTTGTGCTCAAATGACACTTTAGAAAGGTCTCTCCTGGCCACTGTATCTAAAGTGGTCTACACTCATTACTTTCTAACTCGTCACTGTCTTTAGCTTGTTCATTGCAGTAACCGAATGCCTACCCAGCACCGTGCTTCAGTTAAACATCTGTCACATGGACAGATCCCTCTTTGACATGGATATTTTCCCCCAGTATAAAGCCGTGGCATGTATATTTGGATGGGGAAGGGGACCCTATTGTGATAAATTATTAGGATAAAGTGATTCTGTCTCCCCCCACCTTAAGACAATTCATTGAGCTCGTAGGGTGAATTCACCTCCATTGAAAACGGAGTCACCATAAAAATTTAACTTCAGTGATTATAAAGCATACACATAATACCTTGTTTCTTATGTAATTAAAATTTTAATACAGAAGGAAAACCCTATAAAAACAAAGAAATAACTGAAAATAGTTCGAATGATGCATGAGATCGTCATTACTTTAAACCAGGGGTCCTCAAACTTTTTAAACAGGGGGCCAGTTCACTGTCCCTCAGACCATTGGAGGGCCGGACTATAGTTTAAAAAAAACAACTATGAACAAATTCCTATGCACACTGCACATATCTTATTTTGAAGTAAAAAAACAAAACGGGAACAAGTTTAAAAAAAAACAACTATGAACAAATTCCTATGCACACTGCACATACCTTATTTTGAAGTAAAAAAACAAAATGGGAACAAATACAATATTTGAATTTGCATGTGGCCCGCGGGCCGTAGTTTGAGGACCCCTGCTTTAAACTAACCATCACACACCCTGCAGAACATAGTACGTCATGCTAATCATACGACCTCTTATTTTGTGCCATGAATGCAAAGATGCTGCATAGTTTTAGGTAAAATTTCCCTGGAAGTCAGTCTTTTAAGCCAAATAGGGTGTATTCCAAAAGGTTGTGGGTTCGATTCCTGGTCAGGACACATACCTAGGTTACAGGTTCAATGCCCCATTGGGGTGCACATGGGAGGCAACCAATCACTGTTTCTCACATTGATGTTTCTCCCCCTTCCTCTTTCAAAAATCAATAAAAACGTATCTT